AATGGGAGTGGACTCTCCAAACTGTCAACTGGAGAATCAATAATCTACTCCGATATTGTCACCCAGACAACACGACAACCCCGAGCACACTGAGTTCTCGAGTGGCTATCATGATGTCCCCCTGCCAACAGCATCAAAGGCTCTCTCTCATGCAGTGGGAAACAATCTCCTCCAGCATCACGATCACGATCAGGATCATGACAGCAAGATGGATTCAACTCAAAAGGAAGGAAGGAAGGTCACAATCATACAATGCTACGCTATGCACCTACAAATAATGCAGAGCAAGAGAAAAAGGAGGATTTCTACAGACAACTGCAATCAACACTGGACAAGACGTCAGTTGGCGATATCAAAATTCTAATGGGTGAAGTGAGATGAATGCCGAACTGAGAGAAGACAACACAGGAAGAGAACTCATCATGGGTCGAGAGGCGCTGGGTGAAATGAATGAGAATGGAGAACTGTTTGTAGAATTCTGTGCATTCAACGATTTGGTGATTGGAAGCAGTGTATTCAAGCACAAGGATATCCACAAGTCAGCGACATGGATTTCACCAGACACCAGGGCACACTTAAAATCAAATCGACTTTATCTCAATCTCAAGAAAATGGAGACACAGTCTACTTGACACAAGGTTAAGAAGAGGAGCGGATGTAGGTTCAGACCACTCACTACCTAGTGCAAGGAACATTCCAAATCAAGTTAAAAGCCTTCAAGGAAGCTGGTGATAGACCGCAGTTCAAGTACAATACTCGGAAACTGAAGGATGAAACTACAAAGGAAATCTTCAAGGCAGCCAGTCATCAGGACAAAATGGGAGATATCGATGAACATCCCTGAAGAAAGCTGTGTGGAAGAACACTGGAAGTCTTTGAAAGCTATGTGGAAAGAAACCTGCACAACAGTATTAGGAAGGAAGAAGAAAGAAGACAAGACAAGGAATGGGTCCCGTCGGATACCTGGAAGTTGATAGAGCAGGGAGAAGAAGGTGGTGATGGTGATGGTGAAGCAGAAGATAAACCAGTGCAAGGATGCTCAACGACAAGAGGAACTGAGCACAATGTATAAAACACTACACTGGACAAAGAAGTGAAGAAGAGTGCACGCAAAGACAAAAGACACTTCTACGAAACACTGGCAAGTGAAGCAGAACAGGCTGCATGTAGGAGAGACAGAGACCTGACAACATTGTATCAAATAACCAGGTTGCTATCAGGGAAGAGATCAACACAGATGAAACCAATAAAAGATGAAGAAGGAAATTTAATTACAAAAGAAGAGAAACAAAGGAAACGATGGGGTGACCACTTCAACAAGCTCCTGAATCGACCACCACCACCACATGCACTTCGTCCACAAATACCACCTACAGCCGCTGAACTACAAGTGAACATAAATCCTCCAACGAAAATGGAAGTCCTGAACGCCATAAAGCTACTGAAATGTGGGAAAGCAGCAGGACCAGATGGGATCCCGCCAGAAGCACTGAGAACAGATGCAGAGACAACAGCGGACATGCTCACACTACACCACTATTGCAGAAGGTGTGGAAGGAAGAGAAGGTAGCTGGCCAATGATTGGAAGAAGGGTTACCTTGTCAAACTGCCGAAGAAGGGAGACCTCAGTGTTTGCAAGAACTGGTGTGGAATCACTCTCCTGTCCATCCCAAGCAAGCAAAATATTAAGCTGCATCATCCTGGAGAGGCTAAAGGATGCACTGGATTCAAAACTACGACCGGAACAGGCAGGCTGGCTGGATTCAGGAAGTACAAATCATGTGCAGACCAAATTGCAACGCTTCGCATCATCATAGAATAGAGCATAGAATGGCAATCAGCTCTCTACCTCAACTTCATCGACTTTGAGAAGGTTTTTGACAGTGTCGACCGAGAGGTAATTTGGAAACTGCTTCATTACTACGGAATACCACAAACCTTTATCCGCCTCATTCAACAACTATATGAAGATGCCACATGCCAAGTAATTCACAATGGGAAGCTCAGTGATGCTTTTGAAGTGAAGACAGGAGTGAAACAAGGTTGCCTACTATCTCCCATGATATTCCTGATTGTGGTCGACTGGATCATGCAGCAAACAGTGGGGAGTGAGAAGAGGGGGATACGCTGGCTGGACTGGGGTAAAGAACCTAGAAGACTTGGATTTCGCCACTGATGACTTGTGCCTGATGTCACATAAACTTGGAGATCTACAGGCGAAAACTAACATGTTGATAGAAGAGGTAGGGCAGGGCAGCGAAGGAAGACGGGACTTCAAGTGAATATAGAGAAGACAGAGGTGATGAAGATACCGCATCACCACCACCAACAACAACAAACTCCAATCACCGTCAACGGGAGAAACTTAAAGGAAGTAACCTCCTTCACTTATCTAGGAAGCACTGTTTCAACTACAGGCGGACGGACGAGGATGTCAAAGTCAGAATCGGATAAGCAAGACGGGCATTCATTAGCCTGAAACCAGTGTGGAGATCTTCTGCACTCACCTCAGCATAAAGCGTGAACAAGATCCGGATTTTCAACACCAACTTCAGTCAAGTCAGTGCTTCTGTATGGTTCAGAGACTTGGTGCGTCACGAAAGGCATTTCCAATAAACTGCAGACATTCATCAACAACTGCTTACGCTGGCTCGCTACTGAAGATCAGATGGATTGCCATAAAGAATAAGCAGCAAGGTGCTCTGGGAACGAACCAACCAGGAACCTATCACCCAACAAATATGCAGTGAAAGGAAGTGGAGATGGATTGGATTGGGCATGCACTGAGAAGGCCGACTGAGGACATCACGCGTCAGGCCAGTTGCTCGAGTAGAATCCCCATGGGAAGCGACGAGTTGGACGTCCGAGGTGAGGGTGACATGGAGGAGATCATGCGAGGAGGAATTGAGAGCTTGTGGGCTGTCGTGGGACCAGGTTCAAAAGATCTCAGAGAACAGAGGTCACTGGAGACGTGCTACTGAAGCCCTATGTTCCATTAGTAACCCAAGGGACCAATAATAATAATAATAATAATAATAATAATAATAATAATACTAGAAGTTTGTTTATACGTTAAGTTAACTACATTCCCTTAATCAGACAATATATTTCAGTCATACATGGAAAACTTATCTTTCGATCAAAACATTAATCAGACACAAAATAGCTTACCATATTTTGTAAGATGATAGGGAAGAAAATTTGCTACTTCGGAAATTTCCTTGATTTTTCTTTTCGTCGTACATAGAAACTACTTACACTAACTGTAGGCTAAAGCCACAATAATGATGCGAAGCATGAAGGATTATTCCTTCATTCTTTTATCTCATCATTTCACTGAGTGATTTTTATATGATTTCGGTTGAAATAATCAACGAACATAACTGTCGGTTTTTGAGCTGGAAAAGCTGAAAATTCAAAGAAATTTACCAGGTGTTAGAGAGACACCATACGATTTATTCGACCTACAGTAAGCTTAGCTAAAGCCTCACACACAAAACTCAGTCTTGCTAAGGCAAGTGATAAAATGCTGGTAGATTTGTAGTGTTTGTAAGACTGTGGATAGATAGTGTCCCGTCAGACGTTAAGCTTGTGTCAGTTCAATTTTATAATTGTGCGTGCATTACAGTGAGTGATGTTGTCTCCACTGCGACTCTAACCAAGCTTTCATTTCTACTAACTTTAAGTCTTTATCCGCTAGGATTCTGGATCATGAGACCCACCTCTTGTGCAACTGCTATTATTTATTTATTGAAGCTTGTAGTCCCCCGGTGATTATTATACCGCACCGAATTGATGGACGACTCTTGGCATATGGACTCCTTGAATGAACGCCTCATTATTGCTTCAAGTTTCATTTTGTTATACTTTGCTTGGTGGGGGCTAAAAGCGGAATCCAGGGTACGAATCTCTACGGGAACACCACCACTTATCGGGATACACGTACACCCAGCTGGTGAGATCCGAAGAGAATGAAAAGTGCTTCCTTGATTAAGCTGCTAGAGAACCCCAAGCAAATAACATCAAAACAAGACCTGAAGCAATAATGAGGTTTCTGATCGAGCAGCCCATATGCCAGGATTGGTAGGTCGATCTAGTCTTGTATAATGACTAATGGGAAAATCCAAACATCAATAGATGAATTGTTTATACCTTGATTATAAGGAGAATAATGACTTTGTTTAAATGTATTTGTAGCGTCACCTAATTCCCCAAAATCAATAGCCTAGGGTTTGACGACTTTCGACATTGATGCTGACCTTGATAGTTTAACTGGACTCGCTAAGCTGAAGGTACATGGTCAAGCATCCTGGCCATTTGGCACGCTGTCGTGTTACGTTGCACTGCTCGTATTCGACTCTCTAATCAGTTAGTTGAAACTCATCGGTATCTTGGCACAATCATCCAAATATACTATTCCATCCGACTACGCTATTGTGTTCTTCCTTGGTCTCGTATTCGTGGGTATATAACAAGTCCGAATAATTAGTGATTGGTCTTTGCTTCTGTCAAGTTCACACCAGGACAAATCCCAAATAATTTGCTAATTCCCATTATAACATCAAGAACAAGATACTCAGCGAAGAGACTCTTTTCAACGAATTTATTTTCAAGCTGTACAATCGTATATATATGGTATTTGGAAAAAATTATATCCTGTGAGGAAAACTAAAAACTATATGGTGATGACAAAAATAATAGAGCGGGTGATGACATAGGCATTTATGATTATAATAACAATTGAAGTGCGAATGATAACAAATAGATTATGTAATATATGGAATGGTACATAGAGAGTATATAACTCAGAAGGGGGTGAAAAAATTGTTGAAAATGGTAAATCAATTAAGTATTATGTAATGGCATTAGACAAATTGGACAAGATGAAGTCAATGTTTTCTAAAAGGATTAAGACAATTAAGTGAAATAACACCGGAAACTAGTTGAAGTGAAGGCGATTATAATAACAATAATAGTGATAAAGGAAGGATACAAAGGTTAAATTAACAAAGTGGGAGGGGGAGCTAATGGGGTGGGAAAATGTTATGGCCATGATAAAGACAGTGACTGCACATACTTCTTTTGTACACACAGATCAGGTCTTAGTTCATGAATAGCTAAAGCCTCCGCTGTTTTAAGGAGTTGAAAACGAAGAGAACGTGGGAGGTTTGGGCGAATTCGATAAATAATTTCAAAGTCATCGTCTGGATTTGTTGTGTGATGGAAGTCAATCAAATGTTCTAGAATCGAACTTCTAACAGACTTTCTTTCACCTTTATAAAACCAAGCAGGAACATGTTCTCGTATACGTGTAGAAAGCATTCTCTGGCTACGGCCGATGTACCTTGCTCCACAAGAGCAGGTGAACTGGTAGATGCACATAGAGGCGGCCAAACGAGGAAGCTTGTCTTTAACGCAGGTGGAGAATAGGTTGCGGCTGGTAAAAGTCAACTGAGTCTTGCTGCGAAGAAAGTCCTATTGATTGATCTGGTAAGACGATTCTTCAGTACATCCGATGCTAGGTCTCCTTTAAACTCTAGGCTCATAAACAATCTTTTCTTTGAGACCGAGTGGATGACTGGTTTAGTGTTTCTTTCCCGCATATTTTTATCAATAAAACGGCTAGGGTAACCGTTTTCGACAAGTATGCTTTTTAAAAAGATAGCTCTTCTCGATACAATCGTCACTACAGATACTTCTTATTCGATAGCAAAGAGAGTGAATAAGATTTCTTTTTCTGTTGATGGGCACCCAACTATAAAAATTAGTTAGTTGTCCGTTCCACGTTGGTTTTCTGTAGATGGATCTTTTAAGGTATCCATTCTGACGTCGGGTGAGAAGCACATCAAGAAAAGGAATAGTTGATTCTGATTCCTTCTCTATAGTAAACTTGAGGGCTTGATGACATTCATTGAATGAACGAAGCACATCGTCGAGGTCTACATTTTTGTCGCAAATAACAAACGTGTCGTCCATATATCTTCTATAAAAGTCAAAGCTATCAATAGTTTGACGAAGTTGTGAATTTTCCAGTTTCGACATGAAGAAATCTGCTAGCAGTGGTCCCAATGGTGACCCCATCGCAATTCCATCTTTCTGTCTATAGATTTCATTATTGAAACTGAATTGGACATTAAATGTGCACCTCAACAAAAGCTCTTTCAAGCAGCTCGTTGGTAGTCCTACGTCTAAATTATGTGCATCAATATAGTCACATACATAACAGACAGTTTCGGTGAGTGGCACACTCGTGAACAATGAAGTGACGTCTAATGAAAACATCATCTTGTTTAGAGCATTAAAATCCTTAATACCCTCAACAAACTGAAATGTATCACGGATAGAAAAACTCGATACTTGCCTTCTAACAGGTTCCAGAATTTCAGCTAACCATTGAGCAGTTCGGTGATAAGGAGAACCAGCCATATCGAGGATCGGACGAAGAGGTAATCCCGCTTTATGTATCTTCGGTAGTCCATATAGACGTGGGATTATAGAGCCAACCGGTCGGATACGTTCATATAAATCAGGATCAATTATTGATTTATCCCTCATGCTTTTTAAGACATTTGTGAGTTGTGTTTCAATTATATGTGTCTTATTGGGCTCACCTTCGGGTTTAGTAAACTTAGTGGGATCAGAGAGGATTACGGAAAGTTTATTAATATGCTCCTGACGATTCATTAGGACAATGCCTCCTCCCTTATCAGGACGGCTTATGATAATGTCCCTGTTATCTTTGATTAGTTTTAGCTGTTGTATATGGTCCTTGGTTAATAAAGAGCTAGAACTGATTTTGGAGTTGGTAAATTGGTGACAGCAATCTAGAACAGTGGACTTGAAATGCTGAAATTCTTGCGGCGATGCAGGCGTAAGACCGACAATCTGGCTGATTAAATTTTCAAATTGTACTTGGGTATGTAATCTGTTAACCTTGGATGCACTGCTGCAAAACTTTGAGCCCAGCGATAGGGCTTGCATTTGAATTGTCGAAAGATTAACGTGAGAGTGGTTGAATACATATTTTTCTGGATTATTCGGAAATTTACTTTCCATTTCAACTGGCTTCAAACCATCGGAGTATTTAACATTGGCCGACTGAGACTGATTTTCTACGACTGTAATAACATACTCCTCAAACTGTTTGCGTTCATCAGTGGATAACTCATAAAAAGGCATGAAATATTCTACACACTTAAATTTTTCAGTTGCAGTGAATTAAATTACAGTTTCACTGCCTCATATGAAAGTTTCCTGCGAATATTTTTACTCCAGTATAAGAACAAGTGATACGATTCGCTATTTGTTTCTAGATCGTGAGAGGTAAAGTTAATACGTACTCTTCATAAGTTATTCGATTCTAATAACGATCTCTTGCATCTAGTTGATGGAATTGCAACACCAAAATTAGTTTAAGATATCACTTTGTATACAAGTTTGTTTTAAATGATTCAGCTTTTATTATAAACGTATAAACAGTTTCTAGAAGCATAGTTCATGTATCTTATCGCCAAATTTCCTATAAGTAGCTTGTTAATCCTTATATGTGACATTAAGGAACTATTAATGATCGTCACCTTGCATATTGGCAAACTTCATGGATGGTCCAGCTTTTCAACACCAATGTCAAGTCAGTCCTTTCATATGGCTCAGAAGCTTGGCGTGTCACGGAAAGCATTTCCAACAGACTGCAGACATTCATCAACAACTGCCTACACTCGATACTGAAGCTCAGATAGCCTGAAATAATAAGCAACAAGAAACTCTGGTCTGGTAACGAACCAACCAAGAACCTATCACCTAAGAAATATGCAGAAGAAGAAAGTGGAGATGGATAGGATCAGGCATACACTGAGAAGGCCGATCGGGGTCATCAAGCGCCAGGTCCTCAAGTGGAATCCAGAGGGGAAATGACGAGTTGGGAGTTTGAGGTGAGGGTGACATGGAGGAAATCATGTGAGGAAGAAATGAAAGCTTCTGGGCAGTCGTGCAGCCAGGTTAAAAGGACTGTAGAGAAGAGAGTGCAATGGAGACATGCTAGTGAAGCCCTACGTTCCACTAGGAACCCACGGGAAAAATAATAGTAATCATGGATGGTTTGCTGATTCTAATTATGGCATTATCAAATATGTTCTCCTTAACTGAACACTGGAGTTGGACGATATCACTGTCATTCTAGAAGGTGAAAATGTCACAAAGAAGTTGAAGTGGTTATCAAGATGGCTTACAGCCAACTATTTGGAGGTTGTAAAACTACGCGCGAGTTATAACTACCGGAAAATGATAATAGAAAATCAAAGCAAGTTGTCTCGAAATTAGTGCTGTATTTTCCACTTCTGCATAACATTTACTTGATTGACTACCTGATGATAAACTCTTTGGTAATGGGAGGAATCGCCTGTCAATGCACGCATAAAGTGTGAAGCTAGTGGTTTTTTAAAGTGTCCTATAAAGCATTTTTAGTGTTGAAGTTATCTGTCCAGTTTAACTACACGAGTTGAGTTATTTTGTTTACAAATAATAATGGTAACAAATTAGTTGCACGTGTGGTGTACTTGCCCCCACTGAAGCTACTGAAGTACACTTGTACGAATACTTGAGAGATAACTAGTCACCGATGTGTAGTAGTCATGAGTTATTGGGGAAATTCAATATAATTACCTACTGGGAGCCTTTTTAGCTTATGCCGGTCAATATATTGTTTAGCGATAGGTATTTTAATGTAATCTTATGAACCACTCAAGTTTAACTGTCATACTTATTCATACCAGTGTGGATTTTATATTTAGAAAGTTTGAATTTCATTCATTCTTGTAACTAATCATCAGATCTAATTCTGTACTTGTACATTATAACACCACCATTCCACTGACACATTTTGGTATGTCTGGGAAATCTAATAAAGGCAACGTGTAGATAAACAAGTGCATTCAAAAGAATCAGTTAAGTGAGAGAAAAAAATGCAAGTGTTACATGTACTTTCAATACCACTATATAAGCCATCTTTATTACTGAACACTCGAGGCGTTTGTCCACTTATCAGGAGATATAATGCATTCATTGGTTATTTCATTGCAGACAAAATTACATTAACTGGAAACCTTATATACACAAATTACTGATCAACGCCAGTTACATTGAGATTCCCTGTAGGTTGGCTATGAAGTAGACACTTATCACATCCTAAGAAAATTTTTAACTTGCAATCATAGGGAAAACTTTAACTTTGGTTGCTGGGAGTCAGCCGGTAGGAAGCACTCATCAACATGGCTTATCTGTAGACTTGAAGGAACTGATGTCCCCTTTACAGGAACACCTAGATCCAGGGCTTTTTTCGACTGTTTCCAACCAACTAGCACCTATCAATGTTCACCACTATGGTGAGCCTCTTAGCTTGATGGGTACACTGTAAAACAACCAATTGAATTTAGTCAGCAACAAGGATTAAACAAAATGAAATTTGTTCCTCTCCAGTGACTAATCAATGTAAAACTCAAATTTTTTTATTGAATACTAAAGAGGTATATACAATCAATTTTATTTATATCTTTCTATGCATCATGTTACAACAGTACAAAGTGAACTTTGTAATTTTCTGAATGACAGCTGATATCCAGGATGGATTAATTTCAAAAAAGTTCATTAGTACACATTGCTTATCATTTAAAATGTAACATCAATTAAATGAGTATGATAGTATTTTTAAACATAATATTAGGATGAAAAATGACTGCTTTTTTAAAATTTTCTCCTATATGTTGTTGAAATATTCACTTGGGATATCTGTATGCTTTTTTTCTGCTAATCGGTACTTACCTAAAAAGTAGACACAACTATTAGTTGATGCAAGTAAGAGTTAGTATTATAATACGTAAAAGATTACAGACAAGCGAAACACAATACTGGTATTCCAAGTGTATATATACGTTAGGAAAATATTTAGAGAGCTGTGAAATGATGGACAAAATAAAGTTGGGTGGTAAAAAAGTGGTCGTCAAGGTAGCATATGATAAATTTCAGTGTTTCTGTGCTTCAGTTTCAGATATTAGGTTGGGACTGACTGAAGTACTTCAGTCGTTAAGTAAGTAATCGAAATAAAAAGGTTACTGAAGTACATCTTCAAACCACAGTTGTAACTAAAACTATATGCTGTTTCAATTACTAATCGACAAATAAATGCAAATACAGATGTAATTTAATTAAGTAGAAACTAAGAGCAAGTGTTCAGTGGTCGAATGAAAAGAAGAAGTCTAAAAGGGTGTAGTGTAGGCAGGAAGAAACGGCCAGTGAGAGAAATCAGCCAACAAAGTACAAAAATGATCATAGGCTAAAGTCTCCGCAGTCCAAATATGGCAAAGATATACTACTAATTATCTACAACA